CTCAAGATTTCGTGCCTAGCCAAGAATGGAAAGAATCAATTGGATTGGTCATGATTTGTATCAAAAAGCATGTGAAAAAAGATTTGAAAATCATGTTTAAAAATCAAATATCATATTCATGAATGCAAGAGATTTGGATCAAGTTTTTTAACCCTAATCATTCCTACATATACAAACAATCAAAACCTAATGCAAGAGACCACTCAGCTGCGCTAGAGACCAAGAGATAAACTTGAAATTTTTGCAAAAAAATTCAAAACTGAAAACCAATTTGCAGGTCATTTCAAGCCAAAAGAATCATCCCATCACCTTCCTGAAGCTTCAAGGAAGGATTTCCAATCAAAATCATTCACTCTAACACCCTAAATTGGTAACACGACCTCACCCTGTACCGAAATTTTTTGAAACTCTTGCATCTCAATTCATGCGCATTTAGCAATTTTTAGTATATGATTTGTGTTCCTTGTAAGATTCTAATGCTAACCATGTAATTTGATTGTGTTTTTGAGCATTGTATACGATTCTACCATTATCACGTTTTAGGGTTTATGAAGCTCTGAATTGGGGGTTTGTGAATAAGGCAAAATTGGGACACCACGGTGCCATGAACATGCTCAGCATACTTGGACGAAGAGTTTGAGACCCTCGCGCCTAATTTATGAGGCCTTATGGCCTGTTCGCTATTTTCTGTAAAGATGCTTTCTGAAACGGTGAAAAAACCGTTGCCTATGTTTTATTGTATTTTCAGGAAAAAAACAACATGAGGAAGACGATGAAGTGGAAGGCGTTGATTGGACCATTCAAATGCTTCGCGCGTTTTTGGAGCCCCTGACTATTTTTCTTTTATAATGTTTGTTAATTATTATATGTTAAACGCGCTTGGGATGGCTCAGTGGCACACGTGTAGGCTGGTAACGTTCATGACCTGGGTTCGAGCCCCAGGTCCCCACCCTTTCCATATATTTTTTTTCCAATTGATATTCATGTGCAGGATCAACGTTGGGGTCCATGATGTACCCTCACAATCCAACCATCCACGCGTCCAACCTCATCAATTCAAAGGCACAGATTTGGAGACCTTGGTAAGCCCTGGTCAACGCTGATGCACGCTAGGGTCAGAGTCAACAAGGCCATGCTGTAATGGGCCAGAATTATTGAACATACCTCCACTTTGGGGACTGATACCCCCCTAGGTTTGCCATTTTATTATTTTTTCTTTTTATTAATTCTATTCTCTTTTAATTATTGTCTTCTTAATTAATTCATTATTTTTCATAAAAACACAAAACCATAAAAAATCAGAAAAGAAAAAAAATAATAAATATTTTTTTATTTTAATATTTCTTGTAAATAAATTCATAAATTAACTAGTTTTAAATTAGGTTTTAATTTTAATTTTCTTTAATAAAAATCTAAAAAATATAGAATTAGGGTTTATGACAATTTTTATTCTTTTTTTTTTCATAATTAAATATTTACTATTATTTATTTTTGTAATTAGATTGCAATAAAATAATTATGGTTAATTTTAGGATTGAAACTTTAATATGTTTTCTTAACAAATAAAAATTGTAGAATTAGGTTTAATTTTAATTAATTCTTTTTCATTAAAATCCTAAAATACTAAAAAATACCAAAAACATCTCCTTTTCTTTTTCTTTATTAATTAATTCCATGTAATTTAATTTTGCAAAAGGGTCCAACGCCCTCGTTTTAATTCTTATTCGCATATTTATTTTATTTCTTTATAATATTTATGTATCTCTCCCAAAACCGTGTAATTAACTTTCTCGCACTCTTTATTTCTTTATTTATTTTTCTGTCAAATCGGGTTCGAGAAACTTTGGCGATGTGGACTCGCGCCTTTTGTAATAGCTTAGAATCTTTTACTTTTCGCAATTTTTAACTGTTAAATAAATGGCATGAAAGAATGTATGGACAAAATAAAAACAAGCGCTAGATCACCAATAACATGACAAAAGACAAAAATATCTGAAAACGACACACAAATCGCATACACCACCCCTAGGGTACGCCTCACTGTTGCCTTGCTTCGAAAGGTGATCGTCGAGTAGAGGATGTCTTAGTAAGTCCTCATGATCCGGGAACCTGGCATGAGGGTAGCTTCTAAGGTGTCTTCCCATTGCTCTGGTGATCACCATGTCCCGAACCTCGAATTGACCCGAACACCTCCAACGGTGGTGCTACCTACCTCTCAATGGTGGGATGGCACTACTTTAAAGGACATTTACACAGACGAATTCCTTAGGGTAGGTAGGTTCTCGTAGATACTTGCTCTAATTTCAAAAACAAATCAAAAATACTTTTCACACCAACACACTTTTCAAAAAGCTTTCGAAAGCAATTTTTCAAACACTCTTGAGGACCGATACAAGAGTCGAACTGAAATTTTCAAAGAAACTTTTTAAACCCACAGTTGAAAAGCAAACAAACCATTTTTGAAAACACAAGTGAGCAAGTATCTAAGAGCCCATGGATAACCATGGATAGAAAGGGTGCTAACACCTTCCCTTTCTATAACCTACCTCCCGAACCGAGAGCAATCTCTATAAGGAATTTTTCTGTGCTTTTGTCCTTTCCATTTGGAGAAAATAAAAGACGGTGGCGACTCTTGCTTCCGCGACATACGCGATCCAGCGTTAAACGGTCAGTTCCAGATCCACCGATCACAGAACTGGCCACTCTGCTGGGGACTAAAACTTAAAGTGAGGTGTACCTTAGGGTTAGTTCATAACTGTGTTTTCAATTGCTTTCTTTGCTTGCTTTATTATTGTGGGACTGTCTTGGGAGTTCTATAGATCCTAACTCGGATCTGGGGATACCTTCTTAGAAAGTAGCAACAAGGCTGTGAGGGAACTGTGCGGGGTATACCGACATGGTTGAAACAGTCTGCTACGTTGATGTGGCACTTTGGTGTGTACCGGTAACCCTTGAGTTCAGTCAAGGAGAGTACGGGGCCTCCGTGTGGTGTCGTGAAGCATCAACAGACCTTAGGAACCTTAATTGAACTATCTTGGCCTCTTTAGGGTAGTGAGATAACTGACTTTGGTGCAGTCCGAGGTTGGTTGATACTCGATACTACACTCAATTGAGGGTTGCTTTCCTGGAATATTTCGATCGCCAGTTCAGTGGCTAAATCGAAACGATGAACAATGAAAGCAATCCCGTGATATTGGGACCCTTAGAACCCGGTTACTTCTAATAGGACAGGTTGAACCCACCAACTTCAAGAGGGTACTACCCAGACCCCATGCTGGCCTTAAACCCTAAGGGCTTGTCTTGTGTGCCTTGTGTGCCTTACATGTTTGTCTTTGTAAATATCTGTGGTGTGTTTAATCATAGCATCATGATATCATCCAGCATCATATGCATTGACTAACCATTTCAGGGGTTCGAATTTTCATCTTTGTTCTTGTTTTGTAGGACATGGAAACTATTCGTAGAAAGACAATTCAAATCAGTCTTGTAAGGATCCCTCCTCAGCTTAAGGAGCTTATATCCAGGATTCCCGAGAACTCTTCATTCAGTGAAAGACATAGAAGTCTCATCAGCTTGGTCAACACCAACATTGAGGAAGATATGATAAAGGTCCTGTTCCAATTCTTTGACCCTCTGCATCACTGTTTCACCTTCTTGGATTATCAGCTGGTACCTACATTGGAGGAGTTCTCCCGGCTCCTGAAGATCCCTATCCTTGATCAGCTACCCTTCAACGGTACGGAAAAGGAACCCAAGCTTGAAGAGATTGCTAAAGCCTTGCACCTACAGTCATCTGACCTCAAGGGACATTGGGAAGTTAGAAGTGGTATCAAAGGGTTCTTAGCCAGGTTTCTGTTTGAAAAAGCCCATGAATGTTGGAACTCCCTTGACTTGCAAGCTTTTCAAGAGGTTGTGGCCCTCCTTGTCTATGGTTTGGTGTTGTTCCCTAACCCAGATCAACTTATTGATATCAGTGTTGTCCAGATCTTTATGTCCAGGAATCCTATACCTACGTTGCTGGGGGACATCCTTCACTCATGTTACACTCGAACCATGAGAAAAAGAGGTGTCCTTATGTGTTGCACTCCTCTCCTGGGAAGGTGGTTTATTTCGCACCTTCCACAATCAGTTTTGAAGAATGAGTGGGGTTTGAGATGGTCACAACGGTTGATGACTCTTACACATGCAGATATACATTGGTGCCCTCGGTCCAGAGAAGATGTCACTATCATTGATCGTTGCGGGGAGTACCCTAATGTTCCTTTACTTGGAATCAGAGGAGGTATTACTTACAGCCCATGCCTGGCTTGGAGACAGTTTGGTTATGCTCGGAGGGATGGTCCTCATGACATGTTAATTCCTGACATAGTTTTGACTTCGACAATGATACTCAAGGACTTCGCCAGAGATTTATCAGAGCTTGGAGGATGCCCAGTAGGATAGACAGCAAGACACTGGGGCACAGGAACTTCATCCCATTGGAACCTTATCTCAAGTGGGTACGCGCCCGCTCCCAGAAGTTGGTAATGCCTTATCCTCATATGCTCCCAGTAATCAAAGAGCCAGTCTTGGAAGGAGAAGTGTCCTATACTATTCAGCACCATGATATGCCCACATCCTGGGAAGAGATGCAGAAGAGCTGGATCCAGCTCAAAGAAGAACGGAATTCTCTTGAGACCAGTCTACATGCCAGTGAAAAGAAGGTCTTGGAGCTCACCCGCATGTTGCATGAGGAGAGGAATCTCAACACTTACATAGCTCCAAAGAGGATGCGTAGTATATTTTGGGATTGATTTGATTTTGTATTATTTTGCCCATGAGGCTTTGATGTATTGAACAGTTACTTCCTTAATGATAACGTGTGTCCCTTTTTGTCTACAACAAATTTGAACTTTCGAACCCTTGAATGCATTGCATGAACACATATCATTCATCATGTGCATAGCAGGTTTTTCCTCTTTTCAGGTTGCTTACAGTTCTTCGCTGTTTATTTCAGCATCATGAATCCCGACTCATCATCAACTGAGACATCCATCAAGGCTCTTCAGGCGCAGAATGCGCAATTTCAGGAATTAATCAAGGGTTTGGCTCAAGGCCAAGAAGAGCTGAAGGCTCTGCTCCTGAAGAAGGAGAAGAAGAAGAAGAGAAGAACTGTTCTGTTTAGCTCGGGCCGAAGGTTTGGCAATACCCTGCAGAATGAAGAAGCTGGTTCTTCTGTTGGCAAGAGTACTCCTCAAGAGGCAAGGGTTCCTAGTCCGGTAGTCTCCGACAACGAGACTGATTTTGATGAAGAGCAATATCCTCCGGCAGAAGACCGTTACAAGCAACTGGAAGATAGGTTAACACTACAAGAAAATTAGTGTTTAACGACACAAAAATTGCGACAGTTATGTGATAACTGTCGTAATTGACATATAGAGACAGTTTTTACGACGGTTGACACCAACCGTCCCTAATATTTATTTTGCGACGGTATATTTAACCATCATAATATTATTATTACGACGGTAAAACAACCGTCGGCCCCCATTTAACACTTTTAACATTGATTTTTCACCAACAACTAGTCACGACGGTAAAATTAACCGTCCTAAAAGGCATATCACGACGGTAAAACACCCGTCGCAGTAAAAAAGTTAAAAATACCAAAAAAATACCAAAAAAAGTGAAAGGCCTTAGGAAAAGGTAGAACATCTCGGTCCACTAGAAGCAAGATCCATCTCCAACCTTTCTATTCCCAATCAACATTATCTCCTCATTTATACTTATGATAAGAGAATAACAGAAAAAATAAGATTTGGGATTTCATATGTCGTGTATGCCTTGGTTGCCAGAGGCACGGTGGTTCTGGCGGAGTTCAGTGCCGTCACCGGCAACACAGGCGCCGTCGCTCGTCGGTTACTCGAGAAGCTTCCTACCGAATCGGATTCCAGACTTTGCTTCTCTCAAGATAGATATATCTTCCACATACTCCGATCCGATGGCCTCGCGTACCTTTGTATGGCCAACGACACCTTCGGAAGTGAGTAGCTCGCCGTTCTTTTGTTTTCTTGATTTATTGTTTTTGACCTAATTGCTTTAATATCCAATTCTAATGTTTGTGCTGAAAAAATGATTATGGAAGGATCAGTATTCTTTCTAGAATGAAGATAGGGTTTACTTGGAGTGGTTTTGGTTAGTTTCTTTTGTTTAAACTTATAATGATTATATGATTGTTATATATTGAAAATGAACTGTGTTGGTGTGGTGAAATTGAAAAAAAAAGGTGTGATTGAAGTCTGCATCATTGTTTATGTGTTGTTAGTTAGTTCATCTATTAAGAGATTCAATTGTGTTACTGTTGGGGATGGAGCTGTGGGTAAAACTTGTTTGCTAATTTCCTACACTAGCAATACCTTCCCCACTGATTATGTGCCAACTGTCTTCGACAATTTCAGTGCAAATGTGGTTGTGAATGGAAGCACTGTTAATCTGGGTTTGTGGGATACTGCAGGACAAGAGGATTATAACAGATTAAGACCTTTGAGTTATCGTGGTGCCGATGTTTTCATTTTGGCTTTCTCCCTCATTAGCAAAGCCAGTTATGAAAATGTTTCCAAAAAGTGGATTCCAGAGTTGAAGCATTATGCACCTGGTGTTCCCATTATTCGGGATGACAAGCAGTTCTTTGTTGACCATCCTAATTTAGAACTATTTTTGACACGGGCAATGGAGAAACTTGACATTCAGAGATATACCAGGGAAGCTGGTTTGAGAAATTTGGTGAGGAACTTGGCCGGACAAAATTAGTTTTGAATTCATTGAATCAATGATTAATTACTAAAAAAAAAATCTCATTTATCATTTTGAGGTTGTTCAGGTTTTAGTGTAAGTTTATCATTTAATATTTTGTTTAATGATTGAGAAATTTATATTGTAATAAATCAAATTATGTTTGTAATCTTTGTGAACATGTCATGAGACTGTGTAACCTTAAGAAAGATGCAAAGACGAACATCCATGCTATTATTGACAAGTTAGCAGAGAGAGGTCTTCGTTCTCTTGCTGTTTCTAGACAAGTATTTTATATCTGGTATTCATGTTTGAAGTTTGTCTTGAAAATATTTCTTTTCACTGATCCTCCAGTTTTCTGTGTTATCGTGTAGGAGGTTCTTGAGAAAACTAAAGAAAACTAATGATTTTCAATTTGTGAAGTTGTTGTTCTTCTTCATCAACTATGGAAAAGGTATTGACTTTCATGAGATTTTCATTAGAATGTGAATGTTGGGTTAACTGAAGAGTTTGTTTGAAGTTTATTAAAGTGAAGCTATGGTTTATGTTGAGTTCAGTCAGTAGTGAGTTTATGAGATAGTTAGGGATTAATTATGTTAGTTAACAATTGAGTTTAAGATTTGGTTAGTAGGTTAGAGGTTTAGGATAAATTCTGTTAGTAATTTTGTCAGTGTAAGGGGTTTGTGGATGAGGTTTGGAAATTGAGAGTTAGAGCTGAAGTCAAGGTGAGGTTAAATGTTGTATTGAGTATTGTTCCACATGACCATGGCATGCTACCTTGAATTTATTTCCCTCTTGAGTTGAACTATCTTTTTCTAATGATGAATTGTGTTATGCCTTGTATGTCAAGTGGATGTATATTTTGTTCAATTTGGTCTATGTAGTATGAACTGCATTGCATGCTAAAACTCATATAGGGCTTTTTCTTCTTCTGATTGTTCTTATTTGGTGTTTAAACTGAACATGACTTGGTATTGATGATTGTAAGCTTGTGATGCATTACCTTGGAAATCCTGTTGTGCATGATATGTATATGTTGCCTAATTTGTATCACCCTGCATACTTCACGTCTGAATGCTTGGTTGAATGTATATAATGTAAGATGAATGCTTGACTGCTAAGCTTGGATATGAATTGAATAGGATTACATTTGTCTTGAACTAACTTGGACATTTGTGTTATTACATGATGCTTTTAAATGACCAATTCTTTGAATAATTGCATTGAGTTATATATCTTGCATAGAATGACCGTGAAGTTGTCTGTCGTTAATCACAAGTCATAACAGTTGGGAGGGTCAAACTTTTGCATTCTTCGGGATGACAAGCAGTTCTTTGTTGACCATCCTGGTGCTGTGCCCATTACCACTGCTCAGGGAGAAGAGCTTAGGAAGCTGATCAATGCACCTGCTTATATTGAATGCAGTTCTAAATCACAGCAGAATGTGAAAGCAGTCTTTGATGCAGCCATAAGAGTTGTCCTTCAACCACCAAAGCAAAAGAAAAAGAAGAGTAAAGCACAAAAGGCCTGTTCGATATTGTGATTTGCTAGGTCGGTCTAAAAATTTGACAACCATTTCTCCAATCTGTAATTCTCTCCTCTTCTTAGTTTTCTTCATTCCTACGCCGTTGAAGAAGTTGAAGTCTATGTGGGTGTTCGTTCGTCTAACATACTCTAGATCTCCTTGAAGCATTAAGGTGGTTGATGCTTTGTTTTTCTTGGAATTATTGTGAATTCTAATTGTCAAATTTGCATTTCATGGTTCCCACCTTTTTCTTAACTTAAGTTTTATGTATTAATAGACTGGAATTATCCCAGTTAGGATGATGACTACCTTGTTTGCTTGAAGATATATATAATATCTAAATTACATATATATAATATCTAAAGGTGTGATTTTAGTTGGGAAGAAATCTTGAAATGACCATGAATCTCAGATGATTCTGCACTTTTCTATGCGAAGAGATGAGCAATCCAACAGTAACTTCTTACTTTAACTTCTTACCATAATCAGTTTTGATGAAGTATGCGTGATGTTGATTATCGTTGTTGAGAAGCCGATTCGGACTTGTTGATGAAAATGATTTTGTGTAGAGAAGCAGTTAGAGAGTGAGTTTTGGAGAGATGAAGTTCTGAGAAGAGTTTCGGATGTGTGCAGAACGAATTGTTGAAGTTTTAGAAGTGAAATCGTTGAAGACTCATAGAAGATTTTTTGTAATTCTCTCAAGTTGTAGCAAACCAATGTAAATATTAAAATAAAATTTGGCCTTTGATGATATTTGAATTTTTCTTGTTTATTAGTAAAATTTGCACTTCTTTTTACCTTTGATCACATTTTTTTGATATTATTGATGATTATTTGATATTAAATGTTTTTATTGTAATTAACTTTATTATGTTGAAAAGTGATAGAAAATAAAATAAAAATACTATAAATAAAAAAATATTAAAGTAAATAATAATTTAAATATAATAGTAAAATATTATAGTAAAATAATATTATATTTAAAATTATTTTACTAAATAATAATTTAAATAAAAATATTATTTGAAATTTATAAATCAGATTACGACGGTTAAAACCGCCGCAATTTCTAACCTACGGCGGTAGAATAACCGTCGCAAACAACAACAAAAACAAAAAATAAAGTCAAATTCACGACGGTATATAACCGTCGCTATCTGTTGTGCGTGACAATTTTTGCAACCGTCGCGAAATAGGCTGGGGACGCACGATTCTGCGACGGTACTTCTACCGTCGTAGATTGTAAATTGCGACGGTTTTAACCGTCGTAATCAGCCAAAATAACCGTCCCAATCTATCATTTTTCTTGTAGTGTAAATGCTATGGAGATCCAACAGGTACCTGGGCTGGATTTTGGAGATCTGGGTTTGTCTACTGGTGTGATCATTCCCCATAAGTTCAAAGCGCCATCTTTCGCTAAATATGACGGGGCGTCTTGTCCCAAGCTACATCTCAGGTCCTATGTTCGGAAAATTCAACCGTACTCCGCGGATAAAAATTTGTGGATCCACTTCTTCCAGGAGAGTCTTTCAGGGACACATCTCGAATGGTTCTATCAGCTGGATGGGACCAAGGTTCGTAACTGGGAGGAGTTGGCTACTGCTTTCTATAAGCAGTATCAATATAATGCCGACCTTGCCCCTACACGTACCCAACTCCAGGGTATGTCGTTAGGTTCAAGCGAAGGTTTTAAGGAGTACGCTCAAAAGTGGAGGGATCTGGCTGGCAGGGTGCAGCCTCCGTTGACTGATCGAGAGTTGGTAGACATGTTCTTGGGGACCCTATCTGGGCCATTTTTCAACCATCTCATCGGGAATTCGTCTGTCGGGTTCACTGATCTGATTCTGACTGGAGAGAGAATCGAGGCTGGGTTGAGGTCTGGAAAGATTCCGAAGGGTGCATCGTCTAGCTCTGAGAAGAAACCCTTCAAGAAGGAGGCCAGTGCGGTGTATGGGCCTAGAAGGCAGGATAAACCAGAGCGCCGTCAATCTGTCAGTGCATTAATGATTGCCAAGCCTGCAGCCGCTCCTCGGCAAGCTAACCAACCAAGGGCTGAGAGACCCAGAAGGGAATTCACCCGTTTGAGTATGACTTTGTCGCAGATCTTACCACAGTTGCTCTCAACCAACTTGGTAACCGTCAGAGAGGCTCCGAGGGTTGCAAATACTACATCTCCTAAGTACAACCCGAATGCTCGTTGTGCTTATCATTCTGATAGCCCGGGGCATGCCACTGACGACTGTTGTGCATTAAGGAACAAGCTGCAGGATCTTATTGATGCCAAGGAGGTACAGTTTGAGGCATCTGAGAAGCCTAATGTAGTGACAGCTCCCCTGCCTGCTCATGGAGTAAATGCTATTAGGGACGAAGGGGAAGTTGATGAAGCTGAGTTTGATAGCTGGATCTACCCGGCAACCGATAGTGGACTTAACAATTGGAGTGCAAAGGACAATCTACCTGTTTCTCTTGTTACTAAGTAATGAATTCCTATGTTTTTGGTATCTGTAATAAACAATAAATTAAACTTTATGGCCCGGTGTCTTACCCGGGGCACCGTGGTTCTATTTGTGAGGGCATATAAATTGTCATTTCATATATCATGAATGAAAATCTTGGACGTTTTCTCGCATTGCAAATCTTATGCTCCTTTTCTGTCTTTCTTTCCTTTACATATTTTTCAAAACAACTGTATTTACACACACACTCACTCATACAGGTTTCAATCCACTCTGGATCTCACTGGTAACGACTCTGCTACTGCCAGTTATGACTTCGAAAATCCGATCAACTTAGCCGAAGACGAAGGTGAAGATGATTGCGAAGTGCCTGGCGAGCTTGCAAGACTGTTGCTTCAGGAAGAGAGGGCAATTCAACCCCATGAAGAGCCAGTGGAAACAATAAACTTGGGTACTGAGGCAGACAGGAAAGAGGTAAAGATTGGTGCCAACCTAGAGCTCAGCGTGAAGCAACGGTTGACTCAGATGCTACATGATTATGTGGAGATATTTGCCTGGTCCTACGAAGACATGCCCGGGTTGGATACCGATATTGTGGTCCATCACTTGCCAACTAAGGAAGACTGCCCTCCGGTTAAGCAAAAGGTCTGTCGGATGCGTCCAGAGATGTCTGAGAAGATTAAAGCCGAGGTGATGAAACAGTTTGATGTCGGGTTCCTTGCAGTGACTTCTTATCCTCAGTGGGTTGCTAATGTGGTGCCGGTACCTAAGAAGGACGGTAAGGTCAGGATGTGTGTCGACTACAGGGATCTGAACAGGGCCAGCCCCAAAGATGACTTCCCCCTACCTCACATTGATGTCCTTGTTGATAATACAGCTCAGCACAAGGTGTTCTCTTTCACGGATGGCTTTTCAGGTTACAATCAGATCAAGATGGCACCTGAAGACATGGAAAAGACTACATTTGTTACTCAGTGGGGCACCTTCTGTTACAAGGTCATGCCATTCGGGTTGAAGAACGCTGGGGCAACCTACCAACGTGCTATGGTTGCTCTATTTCATGACATGATCCATCATGAGATAGAAGTGTATGTTGACGACATGATCGCAAGGTCCCAAACTGAGGAAGAGCACCTAGATCATCTGCAGAAATTGTTTGACCGGTTGAAACTATACAAGCTGAGGTTGAACCCGAACAAGTGCACCTTCGGGGTAAGATCTGGGAAATTGCTAGGCTTCGTTGTAAGTGACAAGGGTATTCAAGTGGACCCTGCCAAGGTTAAAGCTATTCAAGAGATGCCAGTTCCTAGGACAGAGAAAGAGGTCAGAGGCTTTTTAGGACGCCTGAATTACATTGCTCGGTTCATCTCACACCTAACTGCTACCTGTGAGCCAATCTTCAAGCTGCTGAAGAAAGATCAGGTAGTACGTTGGAATGATGAATGTCAGGCTGCTTTCGACAGAATCAAGGAGTATCTCCAAGAACCACCTATCCTTATGCCACCGGTTGAAGGGAGACCTCTGATACTATACCTGACAGTACTGGACAATTCAATGGGGTGTGTGCTGGGGCAGCATGACGAGTCTGGCCGAAAAGAGCATGCCATTTATTACCTTAGCAAAAAGTTTGCCGACTGTGAGACCCGATACTCACTGCTCGAGAAAACTTGCTGCGCTTTGGTATGGGCTGCTCGCCGGCTGAGACAGTATATGCTGACTCACACTACCTTGTTGATCTCAAAGATGGATCCTATAAAGTACATATTCGAAAAGCCTGCTCTGTCTGGGAGAATTGCAAGATGGCAAATGATCTTGACGGAATACGACATTCAGTACACAACCCAGAAAGCCATCAAGGGAAGTGTATTGGCAGACCACTTGGCACATCAGGCCGTAGATGATTACCAGTCAATGAACTTTGAGTTTCCAGACGAAAGCATCATGATAGTAACTGATTGTGAAGTACCTGGACCGGATGAAGGACCTGAGGAAGGATCCCGATGGTTTATGCACTTTGACGGAGCCTCCAATGCTTTGGGAAACGATATCGGCGCCATAATCATATCACCTCAAGGTACTCATACTCCACTCACTGCCCGGCTATGTTTCAACTGTACCAACAACATGGCGGAGTATGAGGCGTGCATCATGGGTCTTCAAGCTGCGATCGACCTAAGGATCAAGTTCCTGAGTGTCTTCGGAGATTCCGCTCTTGTGATCAATCAGATCAAAGGAGAGTGGGATACGAAACATCCAAACCTGATTCCTTACAGAGAATGTGTGTTGACCTTGATCCCCCACTTCACAGAGATAACATTTGAACACTTTCCGAGAGAAGAGAATCAGCTGGCGGACGCGTTAGCTACAATGGCTTCTATGTTCAAAGTTAAATGGGATAATGAGGCTCCCCGGATCATCATCTGGAAACTGGACGAACCGGCATACTATTGTGATCTCGAAACTGAATTGGTGACTGAGAAGCCCTGGTATCATGAGGTGAAGAGATATTTGGAAGCTCAGGAATACCCCGAAGATGCCTCTATCAATGATAAGAAGTTCCTG